CGCCTAGCTCCGAAGGGACGGGGGAGGTGCGGAGGGGGCGGCAAAATGTCCGCACGTCCTCCCCCCGTTTCTTTGGCGTGCGGTGCGAGGTTGCCCGTGACCTTCCTTGTGAAGTGGTAGCTCCGTGGCTGTGAGGAGCCGACAGGACCGCATGCAGCTCGTGAAGTGATGATGTGTCACTTGGCCAAAATGAAAGTCGGCCTCACGCCTCCGCGGGGTACCCGAGACGAGCCCCTGATACTTCTGTGTGGCTAGAAATCCCGTTGAATTTCATGATATAAAAGCTTGAAATGGAAATTGTGCCTCGGCAAATACTTTATTGAATGTAGCTAATGCAATGTTTGTATCCTCCGCAGTAAGGGTTAAGGATTTGATTGTACTCAAAAAGGCATCTAGTCTTCCGTAAGTGTCCCTCCCCTTGTAAAATGTATTGGTATTTACTGTACATAAGGTTCTACCTTAGTGTAGTTTCTCTGCAGTAACCTCTGTGTTTTTATTCTTTTGACAGACTTTAATTTAGTTTACTCTGGTTAATTCATGAGTGTTAACTTTTGACTCTTCTTTGACATTATGCTACAAGTGGCATGAAGGAAACTGTGAGCTTTTTTAAGCAGATAATCACAAAAATAAGTGTTACTTAATACAAGTAAATTAATCTCTCTCTAAATGTATGCCTATTATTCTTTTAAACTATTAAAACAGAAAATTAGAACATCTGTTTTTAAAAAGCAGAAGTCTGTGATTTGTGAAAAGTCATGTGGGATACAGCAGAAAGTTAAACTTGATTTTTTTTTTTTTTAATTACTTTAATAGGTATCTTAACAGCAAGGCCAGTATTCTATTTAAGTTGAGCTTTGTAGTCCCAAATGGAGGGTGATTATTAAGTCTTCTGTAAAGCAGTAGTAATCAACCTGTTGAAAGTAGAGGTGTAGGGGTTTGTGGTTTTTTTTTTTTTCCCTCTCAAGTGGTTGAGTACTCCACTAAAAAGTTATTTTGGAAACTGTTCTCTAGGTGAGGAGACCAGAAAATTTTGTGAATTTAGAGGATTTGGTAATTGGCTAGTTAAGCACTTGCAATACTTTCATCTACTCAGTGTTGGTTCCTTTCCTTTCTAGATGCCATACCAAGTGCAGATCAGATTCGTATAACAACATCTTTGAAAAGCCAAAGAGGATCAGTATGGACAAAAAACAAGTCAGTATTTGAACATTGGGAAGTTGAAGTGACCTTTCGAGTTACAGGAAGAGGCCGCATTGGAGCTGATGGATTGGTATTAAGAATTTGATCTAACTGAAAAAAAAAATATATATGCTTTAAATAGTGAGTCTTGACTTATGACTCTTACTTGCTTTCTCTAATAGGCAATCTGGTTTACAGAAGAGCAAGGCTTGGAAGGTCCTGTTTTCGGGGCAGCTGATCAATGGAATGGTGTTGGAATTTTCTTTGATTCCTTTGACAATGATGGAAAGGTTAGTCAGAAGCAAACTCTTCTAGCAAAGACTATAAATTAATTTTCTGCCTGTTTTGTACACATAACTTTGTGGAAAAAAATAGGGTGTTATTTTCCTAACCCCCCCTTTCACTTCGAAGGAATAAATTAAAATAGTGAAGTTTCCCTTATAGATTTTTTTTTACTAGACTTCTTCACTTTTTTTTTTTTTTTTAAAGCTTGAAAGTTGAAGCATAACAGATAATGAATCTCCACTGAAACATTGGTTCATGTGTTAGCTTTGGAGGGAAAATGCCTCATACAAGCTGAAATTTAGAACGTTCACGCACAATTTGAAATGTTGATATATCTGAAGATGTGTGCTTTGGAAGAGGCATATTGTACCAAAATATGACGCTGTGGAAACACAAATTTCTATGTCTCTCTTCAGAGATGCTCTTTTTCTTGCAACAGATCTGCCTTGAGTAGTTCAGCAGCAAAAATTCTGTCGCAGATGGGGGTGACAGTTGTTGTTTTGAATTTCCAGTTCAGAATGATCCTGGGAAACTTTAACAATACATAGTAGGTCTGCTTTGCTTCTTTTGCTTTTCCTGCACTACTTTGGCTTACTTTTAGATGTTTTAGATACTTTTTTTGTAGGTGTACAAGCTTTTTTCCTACAGGTGGCTTTTGATATACAGCAAACTTCATCATATATAAAAGTTGAAAGACTGAAGGTGATGTTTATGTTTCTGGTCTTCAAAGACAAGACATAGAATTATTGTTCAACTTACTAAGAATTTTTAAATCCTTTTTGTTTTCCTTTTTGTCTGACTTCTGGCATGAATACGGACGCTGGCATAGTTTAGCTGGCTGAAGATGCTGTCTATCAAAAATTGCATGTGGACAGCACTGTCTGCCAGAACTTTGTGGTGTGAAACCCTTTTTTTAGAAAGTGATGATGTGTCACTTCTAGTCAAAATGAAAGTCTCATCATGCCTTTATTAGTCTGATGTGTCTTAAATAGTGGAGTTTGTAAGACTTTTTTTTTTTAATAACAACCTATTGCTTTCTTCAGTCCTAGTATGGAGAAATTCTTTTTGGTGCTTTTAGTTTGTTCTCTGGAACATGCTTGGTGCTGTAAGTGGTCCTCAGCCTAATATGCTAGCATCCAGAAACAGACTTCATCTAGTACTGCCAACTCAGAGCACCTTGGTTATGATGCTGATTTAAAAACTGCAAAGCCTTTTTTCTCTTCCTTCTAAGGCTGTAGGTTATACTAGAGTTGAATTTTTCTTTCTCTGTAGAAGTAATGACAAAAGCTTTATAGAAAGAGAAATACAATTTCATAGCTCTGAACACCTGAAATAGTAAGAACCACACTAAATGTCGTAAGAGTTTACAGTACATCTTTCCTGTGACCTTTGGAGGCAGAAAATTGAGAAGTTATTCCCCACTGGCTTTCAAGTTCTTGTGTGTGCTTGCATCCAGACAAGATCCCCAGCAGAAGTTGGACTGCCCATCGACCATTAGCATTGATTACTTGTGTTAGTAGCTGTCTGCTGTGCTCTAAGGTAGATTAGACTTGGGTTGCATTCATGAGTGCTTTGAAATTGCATTGTTTATACATGCTTTGTGCAGAACATATGCAAGTATGCTCTGAACTAATACAATATTTCTGATGTTAAACTGAAATGAACAGTAAGGTGACATGAAAGTATTCCAGTGGTACTCAGTAGGTAATACCGGTGTCAAAGCAATTAAGCTAACCAAACTCCATTGCTGAGAAGTAGAAACACTGGTGTATTTCTGTGTACCAGTGTACTGTTCTGTTGTTGTCACAATCTGCATGAGGAAGGAAAAGAAACAGATAAGTTTGGTTGTAGTGTTTTTCTGAAGACAAAGGACCACCCTACCCTACCACTGTGCATTGAGAAGGACATTGTTTCTTGAATTCTTGAAATCTGAGTCTCGTTTTCTTTTCTTAAGAGCTGGTAATGTGTCTAGTGGGACAGTATATTCCTTTACGTCATGGTTTAACCCTGGTAGGCAGCTAAGCATCACACAGCTGCTTGCTCACTCCCTCCTGCTGGGATGGGGGAGAGAATCGGAAGGGTAAAAGTGAGAAAACTCACGGGTTGAGATAAAGACAATTTAATAGGTAAAGCAAAAGCTGCATCCTTAAGCAAAGCAAAACAAGGAATTAATTCACTACTTCCCATCAGTAGGCAGGTGTTCAGCCATCTCCGGGACAGCAGGGCTCCATCATTATCAACGATGACCTGGGAAGACAAATGCCATACCTCTGAACGTCCCCCCTTTCTCCTTCCCCCAGCCTTTATTGCTGAGTGTGATGCCATATGATCCGGGATATCCTTTGCTCAGTTGGGGTCGGCTGTCCCGGCTGTGTCCCTTTACAACTTCTTGTGCACTCCCAGCCTACTTGCTGATGGGGGACTGTGAGAAGCCAAAAAGGCCTTGAGGCTGTGTAAGCAGTAACTGAAACTTCACTGTGTTATCAATGCTGTTTTCATCATAAACCCAAAACATAGCCCCATACTAGCTACTATGAAGAAATTTAACTCTATCCCAGCCAAACCCAGCACATTTTAGGAGATGATTAATTGAAATGGTGAAGGGGGAAGGGAGATTAACTCTGCAATCTTGTGCTTTTCTAAAAAGTGGAGTTCACTTCATAAACTCCTGGAGGCAACTGGAATAGTGCCGTAAATCTGTTCTGCCATTATCATTTTAGCTTGTTCTCATTGTCTAACAATTTAAATAACTGGGGATGTGTTCAACAGACTTTGTTTAGTCTCTGACAGATAGCTCCTGAGGTTTTTCTAAAGACTGTGACAAGAGCAGTAGGATGTCAACATAATGTCTGTTCGGATGTTTTTCCCGGGGTTATATAGCTAAAGTTGGATGTATTGAGTCTTATTAGTTTTAAGATCTGTATCTTCACTACATATGAATTTCTTCTATCTGTAGTTTTTATATTTCTGTATTTGTCAAATGATGGTAATTGGTAGTATATCCAGGAACTTAATTTGTGTGGGTTTTTTCACCCCTAACTGTGTAAAGAATGTAGCAGTCTCTTGCAAAGCATGCAGCATGATACAGTGCTACTTACTCCTTTTGCTTAAGTAATCCTGAAGTACAGAAAGAATAAAAACATCTGTGGTGTGTCTGTAGCGTAATGACTTTAGGTGCTTTATCACAGAAGGGCTATCAGTGATGTTATTTTTGTTTTACTTTGAATTAAAATTAAATCAAATTTGTTTGCTATTTCTTTTTCTAGAAAAACAATCCTGGCGTGATTGTTGTAGGCAACAATGGAAAACTTCTGTATGACCATCAGAAGTAAGTTTATTTTCAGTGTTAATGATGAATGTTTGCTTTTGATGAAAAGTTGTGTGAAACTCTTTGAGAAACTTAAAGGTTTCTTTCATATGAAACTTTGTTTTTTCCTTTACATTTGAGTTTTTCTATTTGTTAAAACACTGTTTTGGCAGTAAAAGCACAGAAATTGGCAACTGATGGATATTTAAATGGCATATGTCCCTTGGGATGGGTGAACTCAGATAAATGGAGGTACAGACTTTTACCTCTTCATTGCTTATGGATATCTTCCACACACAGCTAATAACTGACAAAAGTGACTAACTGAAAGCTAATTGCCTGTTATTAATTTAATTGGTTTAATTTTGATTTCTGATTGTTTATTGTCGACAGCACAATTGACATCTTTTTGGATTCTCTGAGAAGAGACGTGTCTAGCTTAGTTGCTGCACTCTGATCTATAGCTTATTTCCATCTCAATGCACAGGTGCGGGAATGTGTCTTAGAAGCAAACAGACTTTCCCATTACTGCATTCTATCTATGTTGTGTCCTGTGTAAAGCATCTAGTACTGTTCATTCCAGACTTCAGAAAAGCTCAGTGTGGTTCTGGGACGGCTTTTTGAAAAACTTGCATATTGAAAAACTATTGTGATGTTGCTTAGTGATACACTGATGCTTTTTTGTCTTAGCTGATAAATCATAAGATATAGTTTTACGCAAGTTGTCTTCTTGCATAGTGATGGTTCCACGCAAGCATTGGCATCATGTCAGAGGGACTTTCGTAACAAGCCCTATCCTGTTCGAGTAAAGATAACATACTACCAAAAAACATTGACTGTAAGTACTCTGAAATAGCATAATTACTCATATTTCTCAGCTTTTTAAGTTTGAGATTGTTGGAACTACTTGAAAACCCAAAGACCCCATATGTTAATTCCTGTATTCTTGAAAATGTTGAGCTTGGTAGCGGAAGTTGGAACGAGGTGCAGTATGTTCAAATGCTAGACAAGTTTTTAGCTACATTAGTGTACCTCTAGTTTCCTGAGCTGACTCGGGTATAGCTGATTTTTCTGATGTTCCTTGGGAGTCAGTCGTGCTAATGTACTTGTATGCGCTCAGACCTTTCTGTTGCTGTTGACTTGCCTGTAGAGGTGTCCCAGAGCCAGCATCTATTCCTCAGATTCCAAGTGGTTGAGCAGCTCCCTAACTTGAACGGTATTTCTCAAGCTGATCTGAGAGCTGCAGAGAGTTTTGTAGCTGATTGTAAGAGGTTCTTGAAATGTGACTAAGAAACTGAAGCTCGCTCTTTGCCAGTAAATTTAAATTTGCTACTTGAGGATTCCCACCTCCAAGAAATAGTAGGGCTTTGAAGATGAAAGAAGATAGAAAACCACTGGTATAAGGGAGTCTTCAACTCTTAAGTACTATTCAGATGACTCTGAATTCCTTCTAGATAGGGAGGGAAAGATACTAATGTGGTGCTGGGTTGCGACAGCTATGAAGTCTTTGTTTCTTGGCTTCTGATTTCTTCTGAAAAGGTGCTATTCATAGGTATTAGCCATAAAACACACAGCTGTCATTTTGTAGTAAAAGTTTCTCTAAAAGTAAACATGAATGCACCTAAAAGAGGGTGGACCTTGTACTGTGTTGTAATGGTAAAAGCTATCTGTTACTCTTGAACGAAAATTAAATTTCAGACTCCAAGGCTGCTCTCTTTTTGAATGCGCCTGGTCCCTGATGCCTTATGTAGGAATTCCTCTGGCCCAAATGTTGCTGATAACCTTAGCAGTTCTGCAAATGCATCCATGGAGGAAGAGAGAATCTCTCTAAGCTTAGAATCAACCTAGAGAAAATAAGGAATGACTCTTCTAGATCAGACTGCAAATTTGTCTTGCCAGAACCTTACTGGGATATATATACTTTTGATAGACTGCCCTTTAATGATCATTGAGTCAGGCATTTCTTGAACCAGAGTTGATACTATTACACCGTGATCAGTTTTAGAATAGAATAGAGTAAGTCCATTTGGAAGGGACCTATAACGATCATCTAGTCCAACTGCCTGACCTCTTCAGGGCTGACCAAATGTTAAAGCATATTAAGGGCATTGTCCACATGCCTCTTAAACACTGACAGGCTTGGGGCATCAACCGCCTCTCTAGGAACCCTGTTCCAGTGTTTGACCACCCTTTCTGTAAAGAAATGCTTCCTATCTAGCTCCTTCTGCAAGGCCTCTTGTCCCTTGAGTCAAGAGCACTTCACAGTTTAGTATCGTCAGCAAACTTAGTAAGGGCGCATTTAGTGCCTGCATCCAGATCACTGACAAAAATGTTGAACAGCACTGGCCCTAGGATTGGGCCCTGAGGAACACCTCTGGTGACCGGTCTCCAGCCAGACGTAGCCCCATTCACTGCAGCCCTTTGAGCCTTGCCATTCAGCCAGTTCTTCACCCAGCGCACTGTGAACCTGCTCATCTCACAGTTGGACAACTTGTCCGGAAGGATACTGTGAGGGACGCACTGAAAATCCAGAAGAACTACATCCACCGCCTTCCCTTTATCCACTAGGTGGATGACGTTATCGTAGGATCTCAGATTAGTTAGACAGGATTTTCCCTTCATGAACCTATGTCGACTGTGCCTGATGATTGCATTGTTCTTTAGGTGCCTTTCAATAGCACCCAGTATGATGATCTCCATAATTTTTCCAGGCACTGAGGTTAGACTAACAGGTTTGTAGTTTCCTGCATCTTCCCTCATGCCCTTCTTGTAAATTGGAGTAGCACTGCCTAGCTTCCAGTCAGCAGGGACCTCCCCAGACTCCCAAGACCTGTGGTAGATGATTGAGACGGGTCCTGCTGTAACATCCGTTAGCTCCTTCAGTACTCCGGGATGAATCCCATATGACCCCATGGACTTAAGAAGATTCAGCTGATACAGCTGGTCCCTTACAATTTCAGTGTCCATGAATGGGAAGTCACTGCTCCCGCAGCCGTGGTCTTCCAGCTCGGGACAACTGGGCAGACAACAGGTCTATCAGTACAGACTAAGGCAAAAAAAGAGTTGAATGCCTCTGTCTTTTCTTCATCCCTATTTGTCAGGTGACCATCTTCAACACGTATTGGTCCAGTATTTACCTTGGACCGCCTCTTGCTGTTAACATACTTAAAAAAGCCTTTCTTGTTGTCTGACACAACACTGTCTGGTTTCAATTCTTGTGGAGCTTTGGCCTTTTGCGTGTTTTTCCTGCCTGTGTGAACCACAGCTCTGTAATCTTTCTGTAAAGCCTGACCTTGCTTCCAGAGATCATACAATTTCTTTTTCCTCTTGAGTTCCAAGAGGAGTTCCCTGTTCAGCCAAGCTGGTCATCTGCCCACCATTTGCTTGAGTTTCGACACAATGAAATTGCCTGCGCCTGTGCAAGGTTATTTAAAAAAAAAAAAAAGTTCCTAAAAACTGACTGACACTCATGGACCCCTAAGCCCTTAAAAGCAGTTTCTCAGGGAACACGACTAACTAGTTCTCCGAGTAGCTTAGAGTTTGCTCTCTTGAAATCCAGGGTAGCAACTCTGCTGACCTTTTTTTTCCTCATTACACCAAAAATTTTTAAATCTACCATTTTGTGATCACTGTGGCCAAAACAGCCACCTACCATCACACCTCCCATGTTGTCATCTATTCACAAATAAGTCTAGGAGGAAATCTTTCCTAGTTGGCTCACTGAGTACTTGTGATGAGAAATTATCTTCATCTTCACAATTTCCCAGACTTGCTTGTCACAGCAGGATGGTATTCCCAGTTGCTGTCTGGGCAGGTGAAATCTCCCATAAAGACAAGGACTAGTGATCCAGAGATTTCTCCTAATTGCCTATAGAAAAACTCATCAATGCTATCATCCTGGCTGGGTGATAGATAGTGGATGCCCACAACGATACCTGCTTTGTTTTCCATCCCCCTAATCCTCACCCAGAGGCTCTCAGCCATGTCATCTGTAATTGTAAGGGCTGTACAGTCAGACCTCTCCATTACGTACAGCGGGACACCTCCACCTCACCTGCCCTGCCTACCTCTCCTGAACAGCCTATAGCTCTCCCTCCCAGTTCTCCAGTTGTGGGACTCTTTTCACCACGTCTCACTAATACCAATGACACTGTAGCTCTGGGAATGGACCAACACTTCCAGTTTGTCCTGTTTGTTTCTTATACTGCATGTGTTGCTGTACAAGCATTTCAGATGTGCTCCTAAACCCTCAGTACTCCCTGGAACAGCGTAAATGCTCCCATTAGCACCCTCAGGCAGTGCCCTGCTGTCCCTTGGCTTTCCTTTGTCTCTCCTGATGGTAACCCTTTCCCCCACATGTTCCTTTCCACGCACTAGTTTGTCTTGCTGTTTCTTTTAACAGAAATGAATGCATTTTTATATGCGTTTGAATTCTATGTGGTATGTCCTTTTAGGTGAATAGAAAATGTTGAATTTTGTTCATGCTGAACTTTGAATCAGACCTTTTTTTCCTTTTAAAAACAGAAAGCTTATGCATTTTCTTTGGAAAAAGTGTCTTCAGAAAATAAATAGGTTTTGGTTTCTAGTATCAGCTGCTGAAATACCTGATAAGTTGTATTTGTTACTATTACTGTAAACTGACAAAGCAATTAACACAAATAGATTTATGTGGTAAAAATGGTAAGCTTTTATCCTTTTAGGTATTAATTAACAATGGCTTCACTCCGGATAAAGAAGACTACGAATTTTGTGCGAAAGTGGAAGATATGGTGTTGCCGTCACAAGGGTATTTTGGAATATCTGCAGCAACAGGGGGACTTGCAGGTAGCAAATGTTAAAAATTGTGACAAATGGTGTGAAGGCTTGCAGGGCGTGCAAGAGAGGGTTTTTTTCCTGCTAGTGTTGATCCATTATACCAATTTTTGACCATGATGATGTAATTAATCCTTTCCCATTCCCAAATTACTGATACGCTTAGGCCTTTTCCTGGCTAGAGCAGAAGGACTTTCAATTTGTCCTGACAAAGAAATTGTGCAGTCTCGTTCCCCACTGCATAAACTCTTGGGAGGACTTTGGGAGGATGCCGTTGCCTGAAGATCCTTTGAAAGTGCAAGGTTGACTTGGGAAGTACCAGGATTTGTAATGAGTAGCAGTAGCAATTAACAGTGGTTTTTTTTGCTTTGCTTGTTAAATACAGATGATCATGATGTCCTGTCTTTTCTGACCTTCCAGTTGACTGAGCCTGGGAAGGCAGTGGTAAGCATCTTTATGCATAATTAGTAAAGTATGTTATTGTATATGTTTTATATGTAGCACCAGATTATGGCATTTCCTCTGAAGTCATACTTGGCATCCCTGTTTCAGAATTTTGGCAGGTAGCTGTGCTGTCATCTGTTTTAGAAAAATGAGACTAATACTGTAATGTTTCTGTAATATTTTAATTAACATTTTCAAGACCAGAATTCTTGAAGCAACTCTGAACCAACAAAAATCCTGATGTTAGATCAAAACATGCAGAGAAAACAAACTAAAAAGTACACTTTGGAAAGTGGACAAATAGTCTGTTCTTGCTTTCAACTTCCCATACCTCTAGAACACTTCTGTACTGGTAAACAGCATCTATCTTTGTAAAACTTGATTTCTTTTTAATCACAGAAAGTACACATGCATTGGGGAAAAAGCTAGGGTCTCCATAGGAATATCTGGTTTCTCACTTCATCTTAATATGTTTAATGTGCTCCACTAATTGTGTTATGTCTTCCAATACAAAATCTGAACAGCCTTGCTGGAGAATAAGTTATATAGGAGTGGTGGTGAACATGAAAAAAAAAAAAAATCTCTCTTCCCCCCGATAATGTTTTAAAGCCAACACCAGATGCAGAAATTCCTCAAAAAGATAAAGAGAAGTATCAAGAAGAGTTTGAACACTTTCAGCAAGAATTGGATAAAAAGAAAGAAGAATTTCAAAAGGAACATCCTGATGTGCAAGGACAGCCAGGCAAGTTATTTAAGCGATTTTTCAGTTGTCAAGGGAAACGTTTGCTTTATGGGATACTCAGAACTAGGGCCTGATACTCTGACTGATCTTAGTAAGCTCCTGCTGATGTTATTTACTTTATTTAAGAATCTTTTGTTTGTAAAGTGTTTACTGAAATATACAGTCCCTTTTGTCATGCCTGGATTGAGAACAAAGCAAATGAACAGAAGCAAGATGGGAATGATGAGAATATGTATGGAACAGTAGACAGGAGAGAAGGTCATGCATCCCTCTGTAAAGTGATGATTAAGGAAGCATGGCCTTTTTGGGTATTTGAAAATATATTTGAAAGGTCATCTTTTTGGTCTGTTTCTGAACATTCATAACAAACTTTTTTTTTTCCATCTTGTTTTGTGCATGGTTATTAAAGATGGGCTAGTGTGTGTGCTTACTTGGAAAAGCTTTTTAATGCTTGCCTAATATTGGATGCGTGTGGAGTTCAGTCAGTTTCAGCACCACAGCATTAGCTGGCATTCAGTGTTGGTATTTGGGTTGTCTAATAACCAAATTTCCAGCTAGATGTTGTTAAAAACTGTGGCCTTTATTTTTGCATTTTAAGCTATTGGTAAGAAATTTAAGTTTGGATGGGTAAGGCAGAACTGCCCTTCCCACTATGGATATCATGCATCTGCAGCTCTCGGCAAGCATTGGTTTAAAGATATTTCAGACTGAACAGCATTTCCCCACTGATTTCAAATGATACTTAATTTAGAAAAATTACAATAATGACTCTTGCTCACTTTTTTGAGCGTTTCGCCAAAGTGCTTTGACTTTGTTCTGCTGTGAAACATGGTTGGGTTTTTTAAATTTTTTTTTTTTTTTTTTTTAAAAGAGCTGGGCAAAAAAGAACCTGCTTATTTGAAAATATAATGGAAGCCAGTCTATTTCTTAGTTTTGTGGATTGAATTAGCTGTATTTGAATGCATGCATATCGGGAATGTACTTCATGCATCTAGACCTGAAATTTCAGGTCGTCATGGTTTTTTTGCATAGTGATAAGTTATGACTGTTCTAAAGGTCCTACACCATTTTAACGTCATCTGTGTTTTTGAAATATTGTCCAACCTTCCATTGATAAGAAATAATGACGTTTTTGCCACAGAGTCTTTTGGACTCTCTTCTTTCTGATGTTGTTGAAGCTGCGGAGGAACTCAACTCAAAATGTGCAGTCACTTCTCTATTTCAAGCTACTTTTTAAAGTTTACTTTTTCTAAAAAGTAGCTGTTACTTAATACCTGCAGATCTCTTCTGAAGGATAGTTGGTAATACAATGCTACCTTATGCAAAGATAGCTGCCTCCTAATAATAACAGCATCCTGTTTCCAATTTATGTGGCACATTACCCAAGTATTGAAATAGGAACTCTAAGATGGAGTCTGGGTGTGAATGTGTGGTTATCTCTGTTCAGTTGTTCTGATCCCATTTGGGTATCCATTGCCATGGCAATGGTGATAAATAAACACCAAATATATCAAATTATGGGAAAAAAAAGTGTATCCGTGTGGAAACTTTAAGGGTGCAAGAAAAATGATGCAATGCAACTTATGAGGAATGCATATATGTAAGAACTACCTGTGCTTTTTCCTTATCAGCGGATGGTCTTTTTGAAACTGTAAGTGATCGTGAACTGAGGCAAATCTTTGAGGGGCAGAATCGAATTCATCTTGAAATCAAACAGCTTAATAGGCAATTGGACATGATTCTGGATGAGCAGAGGAGATATGTCTCTGCAGTCACAGATGAAATTGCTAAAAGAGGAGCTGGTTTTCCAGGTCAACAAGGACAGGTAAAAAAAAAAAAAATACACCGTGATTGATAGCTCAGCCTAATTTCAGCAGCATGATTGATTTGCTTTTTCCAAGATATGTTGATCTCTTTCTCCCCACCCTCGCCAGGTTTCCCAGCAAGAGATTGAGAAAGTTGTGAAAACCCAAGAAGAGGTCATTAGACAAGTAAATGAAATAAGGTAGATGCTTTCCAAATATTAAGGCTGTGTTTTGAATTGTATATTATTTTCCACCTTTTAAATTCTATTCAGCAG